GCTCTGCTGAAAGAGTTCCTCAGGGACATGCCTGACCCTCTCCTCACCAAGGAGCTCTACACAGCCTTCATCAACACAACATGTTAGCTTCAACATCCCTTTTCCCTTCTGCCTCACTTTGATTGTCCATTCTCCTCTAATTCCTTCCTCCTGCTTCTTTTTTCTGCATTTTTCCTTTCTTAACAAATCCATCCTAATATGTGCATTGCAGTGTTGGACCCAGATGAGCAGCAAAATGTTACTCAGCTACTGGTCTACCTACTCCCAGCATGCAACAGTGACACACTCCATCGTCTCCTGGAGTTTCTGTCCACTGTAGCCAACCACGCCCACAATGGACAAGACAAGGATGGCCAGGAAGTGAGTGCCAGTTTTTACTCAACAAGAAATAAAACTAAAACCAACCAACCAAATAAACAAAACAATCAAATCAACCAATTATTCTGAGTGGAAAATAACACAGGAGAAAAAAGAAAACATCCAAATGTAGCTGCTTTTAGTTGGGTGCAAACAGCACATGGGCGGGTTGCTCTACAGGCTGTTTTCTGTTTCCACCTCATTTGGAGAAAATTAACAACTTAGTGATAGGAAACAGTTTGTGTGGTTGGTATGTACACATGCTGTGTTTCTTTGTGCCCGTCAAGCCTGCAACAGCATAAGGGTTGATGTAAGAAAGCCAAACAGCTTCTTGCTGATTATCACATCCATCACTTAACCCAGATCTGACCTCTGGAAGGCTGGAGCAATTCAGCTTTGCTACTCATTGTCAGTGTACAAGGAAACAAGTAGTCCCACCTTAACGTGGCTCCCACCTTCCTCAAGCAATAGGAGTGGCTTGCATGAGGGTATGTAACATTTTTAATTTGTTCTAGGTTCCTTAGATCTAAATAAAGGAAAGCTGAATGTTACAGCATACAATGATTAGACAACAGCACACAACAGTTTGGGAAAGGCCCTTTCCTGTTTCAGCATGACAACGCCTTTCATGCACAAAGCGAGGTTCATAAAAAAAAGCTGTTTTCCCAGTTCGGGGTGGAAGAATCACTCAGAGCTT